GTGTTCGGGTCAATTCGATTGTAGGGACAGTGTGGTCACCGAAGCAATAGTAGGACACCTTAGAAGCTACCCTTATATCCTAGATCCTTTTTAATCCTAGGCAACCGTTCCGAGGCAACTGTTTCGAGACAACTGTTTCGAGGCAACTGGATCATGGACATAAGGACCGCTAAAACGTCCTATACTTGACGACCACGTTTCGAAGGCAACGAGTGAGGCGTACCCTAGAAGTGGTGTGTGTATTTGTGTGTTGTTTTCAGTTTAACAGTTATCTTTGATCATGGCATTGTGAGCTACGCTTTATTTTTAATTACCATACATTCTTTCATGCAATTTAGAGTTTAAGAGCGCGGAAAATTAAAAGACGGAAAGGTAAAAGCTACGCTATTACAAGGCGCGGGTCTATACATCGCCAAAATACAAAGACCCGTTTTTGATAAAAGATGCGGAAAGTTAAAAATGCGGTAAACCTAATTACTATTACATTCCTTGAACAGTTACATAATAATTAATAAGAAAAATAATGCGCGAAAAGAATAAATTGGAACGTCCGAGGGTTTTGACCCTTTGCTTGAAATTAAATTAAATTAAGAACTATTATTTATTTAATTAAAGAAAGGAAAGTGTGTTTTTTATGTTTTTGGTATTTAATGAAATAAAGAAAAAGAATTAAAAGAAAACCCTAAATCTAGATTATTTTAATTATTAAGAAAATATTAAAGTTAACCTAATTTACTAATTAATTAATTTACATGTTTATTTACAAAAATAGCAATTAATAATAATAATAAATAATGATAATAATAATGATAAAAAAGAATCAAAACCTAATTCTATAGAATTTTATTTATTAAAGAAAAGATTGAATTTCAAACCTAAATTAACTAAATTAATTATTAACATTTATTTACAAAAATAAATTAGTAAGGAATTTAATAAATAATTACACATATTTTGTATTTTGATATTCTGTTTTTATTATGGAAAATTATTTTATGGTGAGAAAACAATTAAAACAATTAAAAAGAATTAGAAAAGAAAAGAAAATAAAATTAAAAAGAATGCAAACCAAGGGGAGTTTCAGGCCTAAATGGAGGTTTGTTTGAGAAATCCTGGCCCACTAAGACAAAGCTCGTTTGACTTTCCAGGATTGCGTGCACATTGGTTGACCGGAGCATACCATGGAATTCATTCAGTGGCCCTTGGATTGATCATCATGAGCGCGTGGCAGTCTTAAGCGTGAGGATGCATGGTGGAGCGTTGGAGGAGTGCTGCACCTGAATACATTAAAGCAAAAATCATGAATTATGTGGGGGGACCTGGGAATCGAACCCAGGTCCCAGCGTTTGCAATACACATCCTCTACCAACTGAGCCACTTAGCGCGTTTGTAAACAATATAACAAAGAATTATAATATATGAAAAAAGACCATTATGCTGGGATATAAAAAAAACGCGCTAAAGTTTAAACTCTCCAATCACGTTTGGACAACTATTGTCTTCTTCATCTTTTTCCTGCAAATATAAAACAAGTAGCGGGGGTTTTAAACCCCCACAAACTGAAAGTCCTGAAAATAGCGAATAGAAGAGGAGGTAATATAAAAAAGGCGCGAGGGTCTTAATGAATTTGTCTTGTTACAACGAATTCATCCATGTAGGTTTGGAGGTCCAATTTTACAGTACAAGGAAAGCCCTAATGTTGAAGCTCTGAAACCCTAATATCCTTCAATGGTGGATTTCGATTCAGGCAGCCTTAGCACAATTGAGCTATCCCAAACGCTTCAGGAAGGTGCCAGTAATATAAATCAACAAACAAAACATGTTAATGATGCGTGTAAATTAAATTTTGATTAAGAAAATATTTGACCCAACCCTGACTTTGTTTTACCGTTTCTTTGAGTATGAGAGCTGGAAAGTGGTTGCAATATGTTCAGAAGACTCTCAGCAAGGGATTAGGATTCTTTTTAGGCTTTGAAAGGTGCTGCAAATATCAAATCAGTTTTCAAGTTTCTCTTCCAAATTTGCAAATTGGTTATGGAGTATGAGCATCTTTTTCGTGTGTTTCTGAATGGGGTTAGGTCTTGCATATGTATGTGATGCAAATTAGGTCAAAATAAAGCCCATGAATCCATTGCAATAATGTTTCATATCTTTGATTTTCAATTATGTATTTCCAATATTTTTTCATTGAAACCCTTGCCAATTATGGAAGATCTTCCTTTTTTGAATGAGAAACGACTTGGCCAGGTTTCCCTGATATGATTTGCTTCACAAAAGATCCAAAAACATATCTTTTTTAATTTTCCTATAATTAAAATCAATTAAATGAATTAATATAAATATAAATTCAATTAATTAATTAAAAATAAGAAAATAAATTATTTTGAGCTCAATGGGTCGTGCATAGGCTTTGGGTAATGATTCAAGAAAGAATTTGAGGCCCATTAGCAATTTTGAAGTGTTTTAGACAAAGTTGACTTTTGAAAATTCCCAAAAATTTCCCAACTTCTCCAATGCATATCTTGCTCAATTTTGAAGCTATGAACATGTTCTTGGACATTTTGGAAAGATCTTGAAGTCCTCTAACCAATGCCTTTGGTCCCATATCATTTTGATTTACCAATCTCAAGTTATGGTCTTTGACTTAAAGTGCCCTTTTGTTGACTTTTGAAAGTGACCTATAATGTTGAAATTGATAACTTTTTGTGAGAGCATTTCTTGGACTTGGAGTGTGAAGATGAGTTGTAGGAAATGTCATCACCTTCAAAATGAGCTTTGGATGGGATTTTTCTGATAAACCATGAAGAAGTTATGCCTTGGTCAATTTGCAGTTGACTTTCCAACTGTCCAAAAATAGAAACTTTTGCATCTTGAGACTTTTTGAGCCATGCTTATGGAATCATGATCAAGAATTGATCAAATGATGATTGTGGCTTCAAAATTAGATGTTGACCAAAATTTTTGACTTTTGACTGTCAAATGACCATTTTGCCCCTGCAGTTGACTGTGAAGCAATTAGGGTTTTTGACTGTGCAATTTGATGCTGTGAGTCTTGAAACTTGACATATGGATGCTTGACAATGTATATAGGCATGTGGGACTTGATTGGACCCTTGGAAACCTCAACTTTTTTGCAAGAACCAAAACCCTAATTTTGACTGTGTTAGGAGGCAATTGGACTGTGCAACCTTTGAGAGATTTTGAAGCTTCTGGAGATTGATCTTGACAAATCTTGAAGAATATGGGAGGGCAAATTTTGGGGTACAACAACAGGCCATCCCTGAATATGACACCTAAGCTTACTATGATGGAGGGTATAATATTAAGAACAAGTACAATGACCTTTAATGGAATTCAGAGTTTCGTATATGAAGAAGGGGGTCGTCTAGATAAATTTTGAACCTCGTGCCTTTCAAGGCATGGGCATAAAACTTGCATATTCTTGCTTGCTTGGAAGACCATAGATAGACGCGGCAGGGGTAGTTACGATCGACTCCCCGTCAAAAGATGAAATTCCTAGTGGATATAAAACTGATTGTTTCTTTGTAAAGCGACTTAACATCGTGACGCTACATCAAAGACAGTCATAACAATCTAGAGACATCCGCTATTATTACTCACGCAACGGAGAAATCAGAAACTATCATGAGCATCTTGGAGAGACCTATAAAATGTCATTGAGAACAAAGATTCTGAAAATTGAGGGCAAGTGTTAAACATCCCCAAAAACGAAGGTAGATACGGTTTAGACTTCCACTCCTCCAAGGATAGTAAAAACCATGAAGAGCAAAGAATGACAGATTTCTCTTATACAAAAGACTTTCATCACCGCCGAGTTCAAGCATAACAAACAGTTATCCATAATGCCCAATAAAGATAATGAAGGGGCATACAGTCTCATCATCAAATGTGCTCTAGATAAAGAACTCAACAATTAGATTACCATGGAGATCCCGGAGGTCTATTTCTTTTTAAAGCAATTTTACTATTTTTAAATCCCTATGCTTTGCCCGAAGCATAGTAGTAATTTGCAAGGGCCCCCATTTGTTTTAAAACTTTGTTTATCATTAATAAAAGTTGTGTCCACATTCAATTAAGATTATTTTCTTTCAGTCGTTTTCTTTTTAAAATGGCAATACTTTTCATACAAACTTCTCATTCTATAAAGATGAACAAATACATATTTTCACCTGAATAAGATTTAAATAAAGTTTTCTCCATTAATTTTGGGACGAAGATAGATTTATTTGCTATGCCTACTTCTGAATTACTTGAGATAGATTATTAGAAGGATTATCTTATGCGTACGACCTATCAATATTGTTTTTTAAGGCGGACATCTTACTTTGTTGAATTGAAATGGATTGAGCTTTGTCTCAAACTATAATAAAATCTAAAACATATCACATATTAATTGAATTTTGAGGTAAACATCTCAATTGTTGCCTAATTAAAATTGTGTCTCAATTAGAAAATGTTAGATCTTTCATATATATATATATATATATATATATATATATATATATATATATTAAATTGAAAAGCAAAATCGTGAAATTTAAAAAACTTTGATCAATTATATAAACCAAACAAAGTAGAGAATCTAATCAAAACATATATAAGCAAAAATCAAATTCATCATGAAAATAGCCATTGCTACTCCATTCAATTCATTAGCCCAATCAACATTAACACATATCTATCTATTTATCTAATACAATGAAGAGTTTGTAGACTACATAAACAAAAACTTTAATACTAGAATACTATTGCAATAAAAGAAGCAAAAAGAAAAAAGAAAACATGATCCATCATCATTATGTTCTTAATTTAACAATACAAGTTCATGATGAATTCAACTCAACCACTACTAGGCACTCCTACCCCACAAACCTAAAGTAATTAATAATATTACACAAAAACATCATAACAACCTTTTTCACCTTCACCGGAGTATCCCATCTCCGGCAACTAAAACCACCGTTCAAACCACCACTCAATTACCTAGATCGATGCTTAGGCGGTTTCCTTTTCTCCCCAACTTTCCCAAAAGCCCCACAGAATCCACACGCAGAGATCCTCGGAGACGGCGGCTCAATCGCCGGCGAAACTTTTCCCGTCCGATAACCCCGACCTCCAGCATTAGAACGACTTCTCTGCACAGTATTAACCGATCCAAGCTGCGGTGGTTCATCACGACTCATCATCTCTTTGATTTCGTCTTTCCCTTGATCTTGATTATTCTGGTTCATTTTGTTGATTTCTTCTTGTAGAAACCGATCATCCCAAACAAATCCTGATGAGCCTTGTCTCCTGAAGGAAACTGCAGATCTTTGTAAACCTTCCATGGCTTTTGTTTCTGGATCTTTCTTGTTACCTTTGACTTGAATGTGAATGTTTGGTTATGACTCTGTTTAACTATGTGTTAATGTATATATATGTGTTGTTGTTTGTGTTGATTTTTTCTTTGTTATATAAATAGGACAGTTGGTGGAGAAATTAGAGAGGCAAGTGGTTAGTTAATTACAAGTATAGAAAATGTCATCATAACAAGACAATGTAATCTAATGCTTTTTCTTATGGTTGCCTGCCAATTACTCACTACTCACTATGTCCAATGAGGATATTGTCATTTTTTTATTTATTTAATGGGAAAAATCATTGTTTTGATTTTTAAACTTTTTATGATTACATTTTATTAGGGTGTTTAATCATGAATTTTATAATATGTCACTCCTAAGAGAATTTAACTTGTCAATACACCCTCTTTTCCACTACTTTTACTTTAATATCCTTATATAAATATCAAAAAAATTGAAAAATTATGTGTTTATTAAATTTTTTAAAGAATATCGGAAATTTTTATAAATTTTCATTTTTTTACCGTAACAATTGAAATTTCACTGGATATTTCAAATTTTTTATACTGGAAATTTCAAATTTTAAATTTGTCAAAAAAATTCAGAAACTTGAAATTTTCAGTATAACATCAGTAAGTTTTTTCCCCACTTTTTTAGGTTTTTTTTTTTAATAACTGAGTGATAAAAATGATACTCGACTAAATATATACTGTGATACGGTGGGAGAACTGACTTGGAGTTTTGCGTTTGTATTCGCACTTGTTCGGTTTAGCAAGAGTCGCCACCGACTTTTTATTTTATCTTAAAGGAAAGGTTAAAAAAGCACAGGAAAAATCTTTTGAGATATTTCGTGGGTTCGAGGGGTAGATATGGGCTCTTAGTTACTTGGTTTTAGATCACTTGTCTTGATTTTCGATTGCTTGAAAATGGTGTGCGTGTGTGTTTTTGAAAATGTTTTTGAAATAGACGCCTTTGTTTCGGCAACCGTTGTAATAATTCTTTACTCGAATGTTTTACAACGGTGTGTATCTTTTCGAAAAGATGTTTCAAAATGTTTTTGGAAGTTGTTTTTGAAAGTGTTTGTGGAGTGTGGTTTGAAAAATCGGCAAGTGTTTTTACAAGATTGATCCAAGTAATTAAGAGTTTGTCTACCCCTAAATTTACTCAAAGGTTTTTCTCATGTTTTAACCCTTTTTAACAATTTTGTTCCACCATTGTATTTGGTGGACAATCTTGCGTTTAGGATGTTTAACGGGACAAGCGCGGGTCATCGTATGGACCATGAATGCAATGATGCCAAGTGTCTTTGGCAATTTTGCTTGAAGGGACTTGATCATTTTGATAGGTGACTTTCGAAAGCGTCATCGAGGGACTTATGATCATTTTGAATTGTTTTGCCAAAGAAACTTGACGTGCAAGCATGGCCCATTTTGGAAGGCAACATGTGGGATTACCCTAGGGGGTGCAAGTGTGATTGTGTATTGATTTCATGCATTTGTTTTTGTATTAGGTTATCTAGCGTTTGATTTTATGTACATACAAACCCTAGGTCTAACCATAATATATTTTGAAAGCGATAAATTGCGGGAATTTAAAGTCTACGCTATTACAAAATAAGTATCCGGGAGTGGGGATACGAATTTACAAATGGGGATGAGACTTAAATAATTACAACCAAATCGAATTGCGATCTCAAATGTAAATGTATCGAATATACAAAAATAAGCAAATGTATAATGTATCAATGTAAAATGTATCGTGTAGATGTAAGTGTAATTTATTTACAAGTGGCAAGGTGTTAACTTAATGAGACAATTAAGTATTTTGTTTATCTAATTTTTGTATTCTTGTATTTTTGCGTAAAGTATGTACAAACTAAGAAAATTTAATTAAGAGAAAGGAAAATGTTTTAAATTCTATTATTTCAGGTATTAAAAATAATGCATTTTAATTATGTACAAATAAGATAAAATTTTGAAAAAACTTTTGAGTTCCGTTTTTATGTATTATGTGTTTATTTAATTTTCTTGGAATATTTGTTAATATGTACAAATTAATGTATTTTAAGAAAAGAAAATGTTCTAAATTTGAGGGGGGGGGGGGGGGAATTATGTATTGATTTATTTATGTACAAAGTTTACAATTTAATAAAAAAAAAGTTTTAATAAAAGAAAAACAAGAAAGAAAAAGTTTTAATCTTAATAATATTTAATATTTAAGTATTTTAGTATTAATGTAAAAAAGGGTATTAAATAAGAATTTTGATTGTAACATTTTTCATTTAAACAAAAAAAAATTAGTATGAGTTAGTTTTTTTTCTTAAAAAAAGATTAAATGGGCCAAGGGAGAATTATAGCCCAAATGGATTAACCCTAATGATAAGGAAATGGGGGTGTATCCAGAACAAACGAAATGGACTTGGGCTTGCTAGAATGTGTTATGGCCCAAGTTCTGAATAATTGTTTTGCAAAGGGTTTCAACATTTGTTTTCATTAGGGAAAGTTAGGGTTTGACAGAGGCGCGCCGTTTGTTCATCCTCGTTCCTTTTCGTTCGCTTCCTTCATCTCTCAAGTCCAGGGCCATTGATTCCTGAATGAAAACCTCCCACGCCTAGCCACCACGCCATCATCCGTCTCTCTTCTGTGGGTCATTCAGCGATGTGACTTGAAGGTAATGTTTTCTGAGTCATTCGCGTTAGGGTTTCCGTTTTTTTATGTTTTACACGTTTCGCTTTTGCTTATTGATTCTGATTTTAGCTTTGTTGTGGTTGTGGAAAGGGAAGAAAAGAAGAAAAATGCTACCTTTTATTGGAGGGAGAGGCGGACGTGGAGGCGTTTGGAGGGCTTGACGGCGGAGGAAACAGTGAAGATGTTGAGCTCGCTTGCTGGAAACGGGTATTTTGTATCGCTTCTTTCAGGTTTTATGATGACAAACTGAAAACCTAGTTTGGTCACCTTTTCATCTTTTTCTGTTAGCCTCGCTTCTGCTTGTGTATGCTTCTATGTGTTTGCCACTGTATGCTTTAGCTTGATGCCTCTGTATGTTAACCCGGTGATGAGGTTTCCTCTGAGGTTTTGTGTTGCCTTGAATAATTTTTCCTCTCTTCTTTCTGCCTCGCTTCTGTTGCCTTTTGTATATTTGCCTATGATGAGAGTTCTCTGAGGCCTTTTTTTGTTGCCTTGATCTGACCAGGCTTGTGTTGAAAAGGGCTTGTATGCTTTTTTTGTTTAAACTGGTAAGGCTTGATGTTGTTTAGGTCTTGACCTTTTGGTAGTTCAGATTCTATGCTTGAGGGCCTTGAGGTCGTGGCCTTTAAGCTTGACAAGATTGGTGTTTTGAGTAGGTTTGTAAGGCTTATGCTGTTTACAGGTTATGGCCTTGTGGTATGCTGAGTTTACACAGGTTGAGGATGGTTTGGATATTATGTGAGTTTGTAACTGGTAAGGCCTTGGGGCTTTCAGGCTTCAGGCTTGATGACTGGTACAGGTTTTAGGCCTGGAGACTGGTTAGGCTTCATGTTTTTGTTGCAACAGTTTAAGGCTTAGGTGTTGATGCAGGTTTGGGACTTGGTATTTTGAAGGTTAATGCAGGTTTAGGACTTGGTAGTTCTATATTTTTATTTTGTGATATTCCTCCCCCTTTTACTGTGTTAGCAGTTTTTTGCTTTTATATTTCTTTTCTCCAGCCTAAAGCCAAAACTTGTAAGCCTAACTTCTCCTCTCTTCTCTCTCTCTCTAGTACAAATTAAAACATTAAAATAATGTTATGTGTACTTTAGTTCTGAAAAAACAATGGCTGGGAAATGATGAAACGATATTGCTTGCACTTCTAATCTTTCTCTGCATACTTTGTACTTTCCTGATATTTGCATATCTTCTTTTGACAGCTTTGATGACCTTTTGTACTTTGACATCCTTTGGACAACTTTTTGTTTAGTTTGACATTGGAACTTAGTTTGGACTTGGACTCTTATACATGTTGTTTGCTTTGAACTATGCAGTTGGTTGGCCAATTTGAAATGTGCAATTTGTATACTTTGTGCATTCATTTTTTAATTTGCAAACATTTTCATCCCTCTTTGTGAACCGGGAGAAATCCCGTGATTTGCAGAGTGGGCGAACTGATCCCGGCCATTTGCTTTTAATGATGAATTCTCTTTTATCTGTCTGTCTCTTTAATTATTTATCTGCTTCAATTGACTTTTTCTTCTTTTCTATTCAGATAAAAAATCAAGTGGAGAGGAATGGCAACCAATGGAGGATGAAGAATTGAAGACTTAGGAATTTTAGGATAGTTTTTTATTTCATTTTAAATATTTGTAAAATCATCATTGCAAATACTTTGTAAATGAATACTGTATTTGAATAATAATTGTAACAGATAAATTAAGGATGAATAAAATCTATTTTTTTACCAGTTAATTCTTTTCTCCTTTTCAATTATTTATTTTATTATTTATAATTCTAAAATTATAATAAATGGAAATAAATTTCAATTATCTTAACTTAGAATAAATAAACAATTAAATAAACATTGGTTTTAGCATTGATCAATTAATAAACCTGGCGCTTCAAAAATCCAAAGCAAAGCACAGTCAATCACAATAACTGCCCAAATGCCTTTTCCCTATACTTACTTTTAATCAAACACTGCAAACTCAATCCCAATGGCCCTTTTCATTGATTTAGTCAAACACTGCGAATTCAATCCAAATGTTTCAGTCCACATCTCAGAATAACTTGACAAGCACTGTAGAACTAAATCTTTCTGAGGAATCTGCGCACAAACCCCAGTTCTTGATTAAATGTCGAAGAAGCGTCCGCCTGATCAAAACCGATTCTTGAGCTAGTCTGAAAAATCAGGAAAAGCCTGAAGTTGTGATTTCTTGTGGAAAAATGCGAGGGCAAATTTTGAGGTACAACAGTTGCCCCTGTTCAATCTTCTTGGACCTGAAGAGTTAGATTGGCAAGTTTGCCTTTCGCGACTCG